AGACGACAGAGACTCACTTTTACTTTTCAAACAGTCTTTTCTTTAAAAAAAATTTTTAAGTGCAAAAATTACCAAAAGGAAAAATACCAAAATGCAAACAACGGTTACTTGGGGGCATTAAGACTCCAAGTGTCTTCTTTTTCTTTATTTGCTAATATCTTATACACCTTCCACATATTAATATAACCAAGAAGTAAGTATTACTAATTTAGCTACAGGAATCCATTCCCCATTTCCCAATAACTTGAGCAACTGGGGGACCATTAAGCCATAACCACCTCCTGCCAGGCTATCCCAGTAAGACTTCTTTAATAAGATTTTATCCACATGACTTCACTAGAGCAGAGGTTCAAAATTTCCTAGCAAGTCAGTGCTTCTCAAAACTGACCACAAGTCAGATTCATCTACAGAGCTTAAACAAAAACAAAACACCTGTCAGACTGGAAGAGGGGTGTGAGAAAAGAGAAGTGAAGGACGATGCTAAAGTTTTAGACCTGAAAAAGACGACTATGGCTGTGATTTACCAAAATGGGGACAGCTGCATAGGGAAAGGGTCTGACAGAGTCGGAAAAAGCAAATCAGTTTAGCTCAGTGCTTGTTAAACAGGAAACGCCTGTCAGACGTCCAAGTGGAGCTGTCCCGTAGGCTGGATGCCTGCATCTGGAGTTCAGGGCTGAGGCCTGGCTGGTTGTCATTTAAAGCCAGAGTCCAGCAGAGACTCCCCAGAGGGCAACTACAGACAGAGAAGTTCCCGGGAGGCATGCTGGTGTTCACAGGGCTGGGAATCTAAGGGCACCCAGTAATGGAAACTGAAAAGGAGGAAGCATGTGGTGACCTGGAGGCCAAGATAAGAAAGGCTCCCAAGGAGCAGAGGAGAAGTGGACAAGGGCTGGGAAATACCCATTGAACCTGGCAACTGGCAGTCACCTGAAAAACCAGCCTCAGAGAAACGTGCTCAGTGGACAAAAATGTCTCAGGGTGGCTGTATGTACCCTATTTTTCCACTGCAACATGCATGACAGCTGCAGTTATCTATAGCGTTACTGGTTCAAATCCGTCTTTTCCGGGGAAGTTGCAATGAAGGCAGGGGCCAAATAAGTCTTGCCCTTCATTACAATCCTGGGATTCCTCCACTCAGCGGCCCAAATTTGCAGAACACAGAGGAGGACCATGGTTCCTCTTCATTCACAAGGCAAAGGACTGTACTTCTGAGACGGCATCATCATCAGCACCCATCTGGCCAGAGCCCTGGTCATACAAGCCCGAGGACAGGAGACCTGAAGGCGCCTCTCTTCAAATACATGCTCCCCATCCTTATTCTCAAGAGCTCCTCCAGTTCACCAGCAACTGCCAAAATGTATATGTGGTGTACTGTGGGCCCTTTATTTAATTTTCTGCGGGCGTAAATGGCTATTTTCCTCCCAATAGCCAACATTCCTTCCTGTGTGGCGGTGGTTGTTAAATCTGAATGTGCGTTAGAATTCGCCTGGAGCATCTGTTATGATACAACTTGTTGTGTATCAGCGCCAGGGTTTGTTTCAGTGTGTCTGGGGGAGGGGCCTGAGAGCGTGTGTGTCTAACAAGCACCCAGGTGAGGATGTTAGCCTGGGGCCCACAACCTGAGAACTACCGGTGATTCCCATAGTTATTCTTGGTCATTTTTGTTTCTCCTAGAAAGAAAATCTCACTGAAAGCATAATGTAAGCTGACAGAAAACTACTTACATTTCAAAATTCTTATGAAATTTGAAAAGATAACTGAAAGTAACATTTCAACATTTACTTAAAAATGGCAACCAAAAAAGAAGGCCCAAACTGAGAGAATGTGGCCCCATTAGAGTGAAGTCAGATGTGCCCTCGAGTGCCCTGGGCAAAACTACACACAGCGCCTCGTCCACTTACCGGGTTTGTTGATCAATAAACAGTCATGACAGCCACGCCCTGAGTACTCACTCTGGGCCACACACTATGCTAAGCATTGGGCAAAAATACTCATATTCATTATCTCTTAATTTATAACAATCCAGTGAGTAGGAATCAGAAAGCCCATTTTGCAGATGAGGAAATTGAGAAATCACTGGCCTAAGGTCTTACACTTAAACAAGAAGAGATGAAGCTGGAAATCACACCCAAGCCTGCAACTCCAAAGATCTCTGCTGATGTGCATACTTGGACCCTCAACTCAACCATGGGCTCCTTGAGGCGTGCCCCCCGAAACCACTTTTGTGTTTCTGGTGCCCAGTACAAGACCTGGCCCCAACATGGCACAGTGTTTGTGGAACAAGCAAATGAGGGGCTCTATGTAGGGCTCAGGTCCATTCCCTCCATCGTGTTCCATTTCTTGTTCGCAGGAGGCAATAATAACAGCAACCCCTTCCAACCCTCATGGCATTCAATACTGTTCTGAGCCCCTGGTGTATACTCACTCACTTAGTCCTCACCACCTTGCAGGTAGGTATTATTATTCCCCAAATGTTAAAGAGCAGGAAAATGAAGTTCAGAAAGGTTAAGGAACTTGCCCAAAGTCACAGAGCCAAAACGTAGCAGAGCTGGGACCCAAACCCGTCAGTCTGACTCCAAAGTCTATGCTTTAAAATCACTACGTGATGCTACTTCTCTCAAGTAATAAAAAACATTTCCAAAGAGAAAAGGAAGAGGAATTGGGGTTTACTAAGTATCTTAATTATGCTTTAGTTCTAGAGTTATTTCACCATTTGGGATCACAAGTCCAGACACTCTGCCCTAGCGATGGGCTCTCGAAAGTGGGGAGGGAGGCTGTGTGAACTGACACCTGTGACCCCAGTTTGAGCCTGGTGCACAGTACCTCCTCAAAGGGGCAGGTCCCTGGCTCTGGACCCCTCTTGGGCCTTGCCAGCTTGGGTGGGGAGGATAGGATGAGAGATGAGAGGTCCAGAGACACAAAGCACGAGCAAATAGGACACAGGCAGGACTGGATGACACATTCAGGTACAATTACATCCTTCATTATTGATGGTTGAAGCCAGATGGTCCTGTTCTTTGCAGTATTGTGTTACCACATAATTAGCTGACCTAGTCACTTCACTTCACAAAAATCCTTTAAGTTCAAGAACATAATCCGTGTTCACCTTAAAAAAAATAGGGTACCACAAAGATAACAAAGAAATTCAAACATGATGCTAGTGACATTAAGAGTCATGGGAAAATCTATTTAGTAAAATGTTTACTTTCCTGAAAAGTGTTAATTTCTTTAAAATTTTTATAACAGCTTAGCTTCTGAGTTTCCTAAGAAATTTATAGCTGAGCTCCACATACAAACTCATCATATTTTAACTGTATGCTATTTTAGTAAGTCTACACAATAAGTGATTCAAATTCAAAATGTAACTAACGATAAAAGTGAATTCCAACACTGATTTACTTTGCAAGGATCCTGGGTGCAGACAACTGCTATAAGGAACATCAAACAACATTCAAAACATATTTAATCTGCAAAGACATAAAAAATGAAATCTGTGCAAATCCCCCATGTTGTCCGAGTCAGAGCCCAGCGTGTACTCGAAGCCTTGCCCCATGCCCTGCACCCCCGTATCTAACATGCTTAATACTCACAGGGGCCGCAACACTCTGCAGCCCCACAACTACCACAGTGCTGCACCAGACCCCACTTTCTTTCACCTGGACTAGTCCAAGAGCCACATTGTTGCCAGGTGCACCTCATCACTCCCTACCCAAGCAAAACCCTTCAGGGGCTCCCCCGAGACATCAGTTAGAGACAGGTTCTGGGCACACTGCATCACATCATAGGCCCCCTCTCACTGCTCTCTGGGCTCACGCTGCACACAGCCCCTTTGCACAGGCCCCCCATCACCTGCCCGTCCCTTCCAACAGAGAGGCAGGGAGGGCCTTCTGAGCTGCATAAGTCACTCAGTCTGGGTCTCAGTGCGTCTTTGGTAAAATGAAGACAATAACAGTATCCTCTTCATAAGGCTGCTGTAGGTTTTAAATGAACTAGAAACCCAAATGCTGACTCATTCAACACTAGTACACAGTCATCACTCACTACATGATCCCCACTATTATTAATTCTCTGTCACACCTTTAAACTCAGTCTTCCGGGCTGCCTTGCCCAGCAGGCCCAACGTGCCCTTTCGACACCTGCGCTGGGATCATTTCCTCACCAGAGGGCTGCTCTGGAGCCTGGGTGCCAAGTTACTCCTTTAACCCCAGGGCCAAGCACGAGGTCTGGCACTTACATGTGTTCACTGAACAATCGTCTAAGGCTTGGAGGGTGAGGCTGCTGGGGGGCAATGTCACAGCACCAGGCAAACAGAAGACTGTGAGGATGGCTGGGACTCAGGGCCGAGCGGAAGGTGCAGGTGGTAACAGTCAGGGCTGCTGAGGCCACAGACACCCCCTGGCCTTGCTGTGTCTGTGCTGAGCCCCCTCCCTGACAAGACGCGCACAGGCCTCCAGCGGCTGGCATCACTGCCTCCACGGGGAGCAAAGTAGCCCAGTGGTGATGAGATAACACAGGCCTGGCCTGGCCCTGAGCCCCGTCCTCTCCCCCTGAGACATGTGGGCAGCTTCAGCCAGCAAAGGGAAGCCTGGGTATCAATGGCCCTAGCCATCCTGGTCCCAGGCAGCCCTGGAAGGATTAAGTCCCAAGAAACTCACGGGATCAGAGAGGGAGAATTCTTTAATGTCACACACAATTAATAAAAATTTGATGATAAACACATTTGCAACTCTTAACCAAAAAAAAAAACTGATTAAATTCAATTTATAAATATCTAAAGCCCAGCTCTTCTGGATTGAGCTTTCCTATGTGCATGTTACAAGTTATAAGAAATGAAAAAAGTTCCAATCATCCACATTCTGAAGACAGATTTAAATTTTAAGTACTTAGTATGCAAGTTAAAATAAAGTTTTCCAGTTTCAAAGCCTCAGTAACGGTCATTTTTGCACAGTTCATAAATACATGCTCTACAGCATATTGCTGTGTTTTTGTATCTTGCATACCTTTTGTATTTTCTTTGACTCTTTCTGAGCATTCTCTCGGAGTGGTGCTTTTCCAAATAACTTCCATCCCAAGTCATTGTGTTTGTCAAGTCTTGCATTTTGTTTTCTAGCAAGCAAATTCCTATAGGAAGAAAACAAAGGGTTAGGGAATTTCTGGGCATTCACAGAAACCCTAGGATAGCCGAATCACTCTCTAACGAAAACAAGTAGACTTCCCTTTGAGAGAACAATGTAATGAGCCACAGACTTTAACTCTTCAGATCTGGTTTTCACGTAGACAGAGAATTAAAAGCAGGTGAACAGACCTTGAATCACAATAAGTAAGCTTTTTGTTACTCAATGATTTCATGTACAAATTCTGTAATTTAGAGTAAGGAAATGTCTTTTAGCATAGCAAAGTATATCTGAAAAAGTGAGCTTTTAAGTCAGAACAAACTGAATTGAAACCCTGGCTCAATCATTTTCTAGCTGTGTGACTCTGACCAGTATATTAACCTCTCTGAGGCTCGGTTTCCCTATGTTTAACAAGGATGATTATACAAATTAAAATTACAGGTACACAATCAGTGCTTAAAGGATAACGGTTGCTTTAGCACTTAACCTCCAGCTTAGTTCAAATTATCTACAAGGTAAATCTATATTATTAATGTATCACAGAAACTCTAAGTAAAAAGGAAGCTACAAGGCCTTCTCTCCCAACAACATGTAAAGAAACGTCCCAAATAACAGTAATAAGTCCCAAATGGCACTACAAATAAACTATGTTTTGGAATGCACTGTATTGGTACATTCATTAAATACAAAAGGTTTCTTGGAGGAGGGTATAGCTCAGCGGTAGAATGGGTGCTTAGCATGCACAAGGTCCTGGGTTCAATCCCCAGTACCTCCATTTAAAAAATAAATTAACAAATAAACCCAATTATCTCCCCTGCTAAAAAAAACCAACCAAAGGAAAAAAAAAAAGGTTTCTAGGGCTCACTGAAAAGTGTAAGATGAGCATGAAGCATCTTCTGTGCTAGAGAGAAAGTGCTCAAAGTAATACGGGGACAAGCAGCCAGATGGAAAGGGCTCTCCCTGGCTAAATCTGAAACAATGCAATCATCAAAATAAGTAATCAGAACAGGGGATTATAACCATTAAGTAAGACAGAAATCCACGAGCCCAAATGGATGTGGATAAAAACAAATCCACAAAAGAGGGAGGAAGGAAAATTCTCAGAGTATACCCTAGTAAGAAAGACTGATGGAGTTAGGAATTAATAAAGCACGTGGGGGAAAGGTAGATGAAGAAAACGATTTTTACATAGTTTGAAAGTCTCTCCCACAAGTTTCTCGTTAATTCCAAAGGCAAAAAATAGATGACATTACAGTGGAGAAACCTCCCTAGACAAGCAATCAGAGCTGGCATCCGCAGTGTCAGGTCGGACAGCACGTGTGGCCTGCTCTGAGGCTGGGAACCACAAACCATGTCCATAGTGTTACCAAAAATGCATTGCCAAATCTAACCCTGAGGAAACGCAGACACACCCATTCTGGGGGATAGCCTATGAAACAATGACTCTGACTCTAAAAATGTCAGTGACACAGGTGGACAAAAAAATGCTGCCTGCCATTCCGGTAAACAAGGAATGCTGCTGCCATCTCTCAGCCACTGCAGCCAACCCGACAGTGCGCCCTGAGGGGACTCAGGATGGAAGAAACCGGGATGCTGGCCCTAGATTCCTATTAAAGGAATAATTTCAACCAATCAAGACTCCTGAGTCTCGTCATACATAGGGAAGAACGAAAACCATTACCTTGCGATGTCTGATTTTTTGTGATTAGCAGTAATCTTTTGATGTTCAACTACATAGGTTTTTTTTTTTTCCATTTTGATTTTGTTTTTCAGCAAAAACTCCTACATATCCTGGCTCCTCCCTTATCTCTTTGGAACAGTCCCTTCAGAGTTATCCAGAGGCTGCCTTCCTGGGCTACGGTCCTTAGTAATGTCCTCTAGTAAAACATAATTCTCAACTTCTAGGTGCTTTTTTTCCCCCCAGAGGACAAAGAAAGGTGAAGAATTTTCCAGGTTAAAAAGAGACTAAAGAGACCTAGTGATTAAATGCAATGGGTGGATCTTGTATCATATCCCGGACAACGGGGGGAAAAGGTATAAAGACCAGACTGTTGGACCAACTGATGCAATTTGAACATAGACGATGGTGTAGAACAGCATTGGGTTAGTATCAAGTTTCCTGAGCTTGGTAACAAGAGAATGCTCTTGTTCTTGGGAAATATACTGATATTTTTAGCGGAAAGGGGCATCATAGCTCCAAGTGATTCTTCTAATGCTTCCAAAAAATTCTTATACACTTATACAGAATATACACCACACTCAGAATGAATAAAGCAAATGGAGTAAAATGTCAAAAGCTAGTGAATCTGGGTAAAGGTTATATGGGAGTTCCTCACATTTTCCTTGCAGTGTCTCATTAAGTTTGAAATTATTTCAAAATAAAGTTACAAAAACTTTCAAAAAAGGTTTCTTGGTATTTGTCCTTGCTTGTCTGTTGTGGTTGTAACAGAATCCATTTCAGAAGTGGTTCCATACCCCAAGGCAATTTCTATTTACATTTGTAAGAAGTGAAATTTGAGGTGTCCCCAGGCCCAACCTGTTTAGCATCCAACATTTGGCCAGTGGTCAAAGACTAATGCAATTAAAACCGGGCTAAAACCTCGGGCACCCAGAAGGATTCTAAGAACTTGGGCACCCAGAACTTGTGTTCACTAATGGTTCACGTTTTGCTAAAGAGGAGGTGCCTCTGAGGAACCAAACTGGGTGTAGGGGGCAAAAGGTGAGGAAACGAAATGCACCTAAGGAAGGGAGGGGCCAGAAATGAGGGGGACACCTCCCAAAGAACCCTGGCCTTACTCTGGGGGTCGGGAGTTGCTGAGGGGCTAGAGGGTAGCAGTAGAGAACCACACAGAAGCCACCAGGTGTGGGGAGACTCAAAAGAAGTCTGGGCACCTGAGCGTAAACGGTGGTGCTGACTCTGAGCTGGGGCCAGCAGGAGGTGAACCAAGAGAAACAGAAACCTTGGTGTCTCCGTCCACTGCTAAGGCTTCATAATTTCATACAAATGTAGTGCAGACAAAGTTTATCAAAAACCAAAGTTGCATAATTATTTTTAGTTTAAAAGCTTAAGCTATACATGATTGGCCATTGACTTTCGAAAGGTTTGTAAAAGGTATCTCTGGATATTCTATTTTTTGTGGGTAAGAAGCTGAAGTCACTACAAGCACCAGGAGCTCTGAGCTGAAGGAATCCCTCCCTAGTTTCAGCTGCTGTGTCGGCACAGGGAGCAGGGAGCCCAGCAAGAGAAAGGTTCCGGCCCCTTGCTCCCCTTTCAGGTGGAGGGTTGCGGGGAGCCAGACATGGAGCTGGGTGCTGGGCCCAGGAGGCAAGCAGAGCCAAGGACCCTCCTCTGCCCATCACAGGACCCAACCCCAGTAGGGGCCGGATGCCATGAGAGCACAGCCCGCCCCATCCCTTTAACAGGGACCTGTGCTGTCTTCCTGACCAGATCTCTGAAAGTGGTACCGCTCCTCCCCCGGCCAGGAGGGCCCGAGGGAAGACACGTCTGTGGACTGCCTGGGCTGTCCCTTCATGAGCTTTGTGGCCACAGTGTTAGCCCAAGCCTGGGCCCTCAGATGCCTAAGAGAGTTCTCGTGCCCTGGGGAAGGCAGTGGTCACAGCCACCACCTCTGGTAGAACACGGGCTACGTGAGTCAAGCTTCCTATTGTATTAACTATTTCATACTTACCTGTCCCACCACCAGCTTAACAAGTCCTCACTAAACTCTGGGGTTACTCTGCAAAGCCTTCCCTGACGGGCTGCCACCAGCCCGGCCTCCAGGCTTAGGCTCCCAGACCAGCTGTTTCTAGAACACTCAGGAGTTATTTTGCGCCTGTTGGATGTGCTCTGTCTCTTCCCCTCTCCACACACCTTTCCCCTGGGGTGGGGTAGCCTAAAGGGTAGGGCAGAGTCACCCCTGCATTCCAGAATTCTACCCAGCAGGCAGCAGGTCACTCAACATGTGTCTGCTGGCAAATGGAGCAGCCACTGGATGCGTCTGCGAGAGAGGCAACAGCCTGGTGACAAGGAGGCAGGATGGGACCACCACTATACCCCAAGGCCAGTGGGAGTGGGCTGCCTCCAACGGTGGGGCACACACATGTGTATCGACGCAGGCTCAAGGCAAGAGGGACATATCTGGACAAATCAAGTCCCAGCACTGAGAATTAAACAGAGGTAACCTCTGAGCTGGGGTAGGAATTCCCCTGGAAAGAAGAGGCAATGGAAGGTGAGAGCTGGGGGGTGGGGTAGGTGGCAGAGCAGAACACCACAACCTGCTTCCCTGGCCTGACCCCTCCTGGGGGGAGGCAGCCGGCAGGGGTGAGTGACGGCGCCTGAGAACTCTTGCCAGTTGGGGTGAGAAGCAGTCATCAGGACCCCTCTGTTCTGCATCCCCAGTAAAAGGCCCTTGGGTGGGAGGGCTAGAATCCTTTGTTACATGGAGAACAGACACTTCCTCTAGTGGCAGCGTTAGGGACCTCAGCTGTTGACCTCAATTCAGTCCCTGACGGAATAGGAAAACACTGGGACGGAGGATACTCTCACCTGCACCGGAGGGGAATCCAACCACCAAGGGCTAATAAGTAATCAATGCCGTGTCTGGATGTGTCCCACTCCAATCCACAGGCCACAAGGACCGTCGTACCAAAATGGTCCACATCAAGGTTCCCCGAGAGCCACCAGGACTCTGAATGATGGATCCTGCCCTGCACACAGGCACACACATGCCACCCCGGCACCCTCACCCCTACAGACACCCCAACTGGGAGGGCATGGCTTAACTCTGGACTAGCCTTTCTTCCATGGTGCCCACTCAAATCCACTCAGATCCACCTTCCTTAGCTGGGGAGGGATGTGTGTGTGACGACTGCAGGGGAAGCACCTCAAGACTCTTTCAAAGATACACGGCAGGTGGCAGCACTTCTCCTGAGGGGCTAATTCTGGTGTCTAAGCCTCCGTGAGTCCTGCCCCAGAAGCACCTCCTGGAGGCTCCCTCAACAACCCAC